ACCTGAACTATATAATTACTGTCTAAAAATATAATGCAATGCACAATTTATAAACATAGCCATCACTTTTGAATTTGGGTGTATCTTTACTGAAAAAGTCTTTTCGTTGCTTTAATGTTTTCTTATATCAGACATTGCCGGTCTGCTCACCTGTTGCCCCTGCATGCATTTCATACCAAAGTAAGGCTCAAACAAGAGCAAATTTTTAATAACTCTGTTATTGATATTCGATATAATATTCACAAAAATACGTAAAACCCTTATTTAAACCTAAAATCTGCTCATCTATTCCTAGAACGTGCATTCATATTTTTCAAAAACATACAGGAAAAGAGGCATGTTTTTTTCAGCCCTCATTAAAACCCCATATATTTCTTTATAGTCAAGCTGTATCACATTTCTCCTCTTTGAAAGAAAATACTAACATTCGGTCTCACATACAGATGTGCAGTCATTTTACCTAACATAGCTTCATTAAAGCAATATAAAGAACACAAGCCCTCCTTGTACATTGGAACATAAAGGGGGGTGATTATACCATAAACTTGCTTTATTAAGACCTCTGTTTATACTCTTCTTTATTGAACATATAAATAAAGCTAGGGGTCCTTGTGCCACATTTACCACTCCCCAAACACCCATGCTTGCTCTTATAACAGTCATGCTAAGAAAGCCCAGTTAAATACTGCCACTACATTTTGTCTCCACCAGAAAGTGGAAAAGAAATCAATTTCAAGACCAATTCTACACAAATAAGAGAAGAAATTAAACTTAACTTAGCACTACAATAACAAAATTTATATTCACTGCAGACTTCAAATTGAAGATTAAAAACAGTATGTTACACTATCTGCCTCTAATGCAATATTGTCTTCCCGATTGTTTTTTATTCATTCAAGATCTGATCAGGCAGGTTGCAAAAGGAGGGGAAAAAAACTGCAAAGTTCTATAGTTCAGTCCTGGGGTTCCCAAGGTGTTTCAAGACCAAAAACCAAATATAAAAGACTTGCTAAATATATATATTTAGCAAGTCTAGGTCTGCTCTTGGGTTGAACTCTAGTGAGAAATGCCCATCCTGGTCAGATCCCACAACAATAATGCTTCCTTTGTACTGTATCGAGCTCCTCATCCCATAACCAAGGTTGAGTGTAGACCACTTCCACAGAACCACAACTTTAACATGGCAGATGGTTTAAACCCCCCATAGTCCTCAGGGCTGTTTTGTCTGGGGATTCAGTTCTTTGTTGGGTCTCCCATGGTGAGTTCTTCTTAAGAGGGAAGAATAACTAAATTTGGTGCTTTAAACTAGGTGATAGTTGATGCTACAATCATCTTCCCTCAGCTCAGCCACAGCGTAGACCTGAACTTCCTCTGTCAAAACTATCCATATTTTTTCTCCTCTCATTTGTTTATCCATTCGTATTTTTCTCATAGCTCGCTGCACATTGTCTTACTCAGCGTGGACGCCACTCTCACATGGTTTGCGTTTTTCAGGGCCTAATGAGCCTGGTATGCATCTCTGGTTGTTGTGTGTGTGTGTGTGATGCCGTCAATGTTCTCACTGTAGTCTGCTTCTCATCATCAGGCTAAAGCTGGGTGAGGACTGCTGAGCAAGTCACCCCTTGCTCCCCCGCTATCAGCCGGATAGCTCCATGATGAACTCCAGAGTGGTTGTTTCCTCTTGAGGAAGAGCAGACCATAGCTCAGCTGGGGAGCCTTATGTCTGACTTTAGTTAATAATGCTGAATTATAAGCAGACTAAGCAATTTAGCCATATAAATCATGTGTAGAAGACTCAAGCAACGTGAACCTCAAGGGTGTCTGAATCTGCTGGCAATAATAATCTGTGATGAGATCTATTCCCTTGAGTGAATCCTATGTTTAGATGGATTGATTTGAAATTAAGATGGTGGAAAGTTTCAAGTTGAAAACATGACATGATTTATACCTAGAGTCAAACTTTTGGCTTTTTCCTCAATCTAAATCTGTTTCCATGCTTCTTGGCAACGCTTGATGGAACAGCCCCCCAAGAAAGAAAAAAAAAAAAGCAAACATTTGGTTTAGGATGTTTGCAGTGAAACAAATTCTGCTAACAACCCCTGCTGTTTTATTGAGACACCCTTGGAACAAAATAACTTCCCGCTGCAGGAAGCTGATTACTCCAGGAACCCTGCCTTCAGCGTCCTCCCTCCAGTTCTGATACTCTGTGTGCTCATAATTTCTACAATTTAAAAAAATTGCAGCTTCTTCCTTAGGTAAAACTTTGCCCCTTCCAGAGGACACATATCGATTTATCTCGTAGTTGGCTTGATGTCAGGTTGTCAGCACAGGATGAAGAGGGGAACATACCTATAAATGGTGAAACAGCAGAGCTCCAAGTATTAAAGACATCAAAATTCTCATTGTAATGTTGTTAGAATAGTAAGAGAGAGGAGAGTCATGAATGTTGGACAAAAAATACCCCATTTGCACTTTTCTAAAATAATTTCAACCCCCTTAAATGTTACCAAATTTCTTCACACTACAGTCACGAACCTTGCTCCCTCACTATCCACCGATAAAATGTATTTTATCTATATTTATGTAATAAACCAACACAAAATATAGCACATTTTCGCTTTACTCTGCCTCAACTGCCTTGAGACGTCACTTCCTTTGTGAGCACAGCCCATCTATGTTTAAATTAATTCCAGTATAAATTCCCCTCTTCTAAGAAGAGGTTTTTATTAGAGAAAATTAGTGGATAAACAACATCGGGAAGACCCAAGGTAAAGGAGATGTCATTATTCCAAGATGAAAAGACTACAGTGTATTGCATAGTTTAATAGAGAGAGAGAGAGAGAGACATGTTTTTTTTTAATTTAAACTGAAAGACTGGGCAAGGCGAACATTTTATATTTTCATAGAATTATAACTTTGGAGGAGCTGCTGAGAGCCATAACTCAGGTTTTCAAAGATGTTGGAAGGGCAACTTTTTATTGTGGACTCTACTAACCATTCCTTAAAGGTGCATTAATTCCATTTCGAAAATGTTTAAATGGACATAAACTTTCCTTTTGGCAGTTTGCTATCAGACATGAATCAGAATCAGAATTACTATATTAATCCGTTGAGGGGAAATCTGTACTTGCAGTGCAACAGAAGTATAATAGAGCACCATAAAGTATAATATAATAGGACAGAATAAAATAAGTAAAATATGTAGATTTACATTCCACACTGTAATATACACCCTTCTTATATTAACAGTGCAAAATAAAATATAGGAATAAAATAAGATAAGGATCACTGTATATCTATACAACAGTATTTACAATTTACAGTGCTGGTCAGTACCTAAATTACTATTATTGCACATGACCGTGTGGTGCTCTGTGGTGCAGTGTGATGAAATGAGTCTCTGACTGAAGGTGCTTCTGTGGCTGACCAGCACATCATAAAGACTATGCAGGATTGTCCAGCAGGGATTTTATCCTGGCCAACATTCTGAACTCTGACATTGCTGTCAGAGAGTCCAGCTCCTCTCCAATAGCGTGACTGGCCGTGCGGATGAGTTTAACTCCAGTCTGCTGCCCCAGCATGCAATAGCACAAAGGATGGCATTGGCCACCACAGACTCATAAAACATCCGCAGCATTGTCAGGCACATGTTGAACGACCTCAGCTGCCTTAGAAAATAGAGATGGTTCTGGCATTTGTGTTTTTAGTCCAGTCCAATGTATTGTCCAAGTGCACCCTTAAGTATTTATTATCCTCCACAGTGCCCACGTTGACCCTACAGGTAGAAAAAGAAGTCACTGGGGCCTTAGATTCTTCTCAGATCATTCACCAATTCCTTGGTCTTTGCCACGTTGAGCTGCAAATTGTTCTACTCAAGACCAGATGACAAAGTTGTCCAACACATCCCTGTACTCCTCCTGCTTACCATTGTTGATACATCCAGCTACGGCAGAGTCATCAGAAAGCTTCTGAAGGTGGCAGGTGTCTGTGCAGTAGCTGAAGTCTCTGGTGTACAGGGTGAAGAAGAGGGGAGAGTGGACAGTCCCCTGCGGGGCCCCGGTGCTGCCGATCCCCTTTTTATGACTTCCAATGTTGCAGGAGCACATACTAAAATCCACAATCCAGGACACAATGAGGACCCAGTAGAGCCAGCCTGATGGCCTTGAATGCACAGGAGAAGTCAAAGGACATAACTCTCACAGTGCCCGCTGGCTTGTCCAGGTCGGCATAGACCCAATTGAGGTAGATGATGGCATCCTGCCGGATAATTTAAAGATTCATCCTGTTTTTCACGTCTCTTTGATCATGGCTGTCTTGTCTAGGGGGGCAGCTGAATAAAACCCCTACAGATCCATTCGACCTCCCCTTTATCTATTAAGTACGGAAATCCATCAGTAGTCATCAACTAACTCCTTTCTGATCAGTCTGGTTTCTCCCCCATACCAACCAGAAAGTTAAGCTGACTTCCTGCACCTCTTCACTTCCAGATTCTTGTTGCTTTTGTAAATTCTGCATGTGGGTCAAAAAAACTACAAACCAACATGACAGCCACAAGCCATCATTATCCTATGTGGCAGGTTGCTATTAATTGGGATATTGGTATAATCTGCATGACAGAGAAGAGAGGAACAATCATACTGATAGCCTCTAAAAAGGAGGTGGACATGTGCCAAACATGTCAGTTCAGATAACTGTTGCATTGGCAAGCACATACATTAAAAAAGGCTTTTTGTGGGCAGTGAAACAAAAGCTGTGACTCATTGAAAGGTCATGATTCAGGTGAAAAGACACAGCGGCTTTACTGTCAGCCTTAGGCCTGATGTTGTTTGTTAATACAAGCGTATGGATAAATAGCACCACAACATTGTCGGGGAAAATGTGCTGCTTGACTTGATTAGGTCCACAAACTGCTGATTGGTTCACAAATGCTGTGAAATTTTAAAACTAACAAACATTTTTCTCTGAATACTTTTCTTCTCTGTCTTTTTTTTTTTTTACAGGAAGTCCTGATGTAGCTGTTAAACAAGGACAAACAGCAAGGTCAAAACATTACGAGACAACAGTGCCTCTTCAGCTGGTTGGAAAAGAATGGAAACCAGTCAGCAAACTCAAACCCCAGGTAGATTTTACAACTTGAAAATAAAATTAGTATGCTTTGGTTTATGACTTGACAGGTTGTCTCTCTTTTTTTTACATTTATCTCTTTTATTATTGTGCCAGGGGTGTTGAGATCTATTTCAAAAAGCCAGCAGATCCCAGTAAAATATGTTTTTACAACTCATCTTTCTGTGAAATGCTGAAATGCTGCATAAATAAAACATTGTACACACTACACCTTTGAGTTACACCTTTCCAAATTCACTCATTTTTCTTCTCATTTATATATACCAGGGGTCCCAAACATTTCAGGTGATCCCAAATAAAAATCCAACAGACTGGTGACCCCCTGAAAATTAATACAATACAATTACTCCATATTTTTACATACATGTAAAGTGAAGTAATTATTTTCATCTTTTTCTAAATGAAATTTTATCAATTTTAAGTATCTTGTAATCATATAATTAAACATTTAATTGTGCATTTTTGTAACTAATAGTATATTTAATATTTGATTCATGTATTACATAAATACATTAATAAATAAATGTTATATTTATGGATTTCCTCTATGCAGCCTTTCATATACCTCAGGAATCACATCACAATGATTGTGAAAACCATCTTATAACCCTCCAGTTATTCTTGTGTCCCCTCGGTGGGTCCCAAGCCCTACTTTGGGAATGCCTGATCTAGACAATATATGTAAGATTGTGTAAGACTGCATTCCGTAAAAATTCAAAAAATATCCACTGGACTTGGTTTTCAAGATTTGAAGACGTTTCGCCACCTCTCCAGGAAGCTTTCTCAATTCAAATGTCTGGATCCGCAGTGAGTTTGAGTCTTATATAGACAACGCCTTGTATCGCTTGGAAACATGCAATGGTTGTTTCGCCAAAACAACCTCTCCACAGACGCATGGCCCAACACAGAAGAGCGGCCGCCTCTGGACAAGACTCTGCAGTACACTTACACCTTGTGGACAAAGGACATTCTTTTGAGGACCAGAATGTCCATATTTTGGATAAAGAAAATAGGTGGTTTGAGAGGGGCGTGAAGGAAGCCATCTATGTTAAGAGAGAAAAACCAACTTTAAACAGAGGTGGCGGACTCAGATTCCAGCTTCCAAAAACATACAATTCAATCATAGACATGATCCCTTCCAGATATCACCAAAACCCCCCACCCCATCACAGAGGAACGAGGGACCTACCCGCCCCAGCCGGTGAACAATACCTCCTTAACGACCAACCCTTAACAATCATAGACAGGTTTCAGGTATTACAGGAGACAATCCCCCCCCTTAATGGCAATCCCCCCTTTAACGACCGACCCCTAGAATCATAGACGGGTTCAGATATTACAGGCTAACGATGGAACTAACGACCCATTCATCGGTTACCATTGCATGTTTCCAAGCGATACAAGGCGTTGTCTATATAAGACTCAAACTCACTGCGGATCCAGACATTTGAATTGAGAAAGCTTCCTGGAGAGGTGGCGAAACGTCTTCAAATCTTGAAAACCAAGTCCAGTGGATATTTTTTGAATTTTTACGGAATGACTTTGACCTGGATGACTGAGAACCTTCATTAGCGTAAGACTGCATTAATCCTGTGCCATACTATCCACAACCTTCATGTCCCATTGGATAACTTGGAACATTTTGTAAAGCTTCCTACATCCTAAAGGCAAAGAGATGCAGCTAAGCTGTGGCTTTTTGCCAAGCAGTCATTTAGAATACTGTAGTTATCTGTGTGCCTGAGATGTTCTGAATCCTGTATCTGTTATGCACACTTTCACCCCTTCACTCTGAAATGTTCTGAAGTGTCGGATCATAGCAAACAATCAATGTTTTCCTTGTTGCTTTCCTTGCCATCACATCATAAAGCTACCACCAAACGGACCCTTTCTTCTTTTAAAGATTCTTCCCAAAAGTAAAAACTCCCCTCTTTAAAAGGAGACTTTCTCCACATCACTCAGAAATAACAGAAAGAGAATTGTGTGTTTTTAATCATTTAAAACATGACAACTGTAAATTAACCTTATTTACTGTAGCATCATGTGAACAGTTTCTTTCTCCTTGGACATGAGCATATGTTAAGCAGCAAAAGAAAATGTAAAATGCATAAACTGATCACAGCACTGGGTAGAAATCCAGATGTGGTGATGTATTTTATACATTATGTATGCATTTTAATTATCAATCCCTCAACCAGATTAATCCAAATATAAAATTAAATAGGATATCTGCATGCATGTAGGTGGTTTGACTCAACAAGCATCTTGTTGCATGGGGTAGATGTTGTCAAAGACTGATTTTTGCCAGTTCTGCTTCCCACTACCTTGACTGGGTTGATAGGGCAGACAGAGTTAGGCTTTCTGATTAGCTTATTCAGCCACTTCCTATCAGCTGTAGGTAATGAACTGCTCCAATAAACTACACAATTTATGTGACAGTAGTTTTACTTTATTCATTTCCTATCAATTATGCACTACTCTACTGTATGTGGCTGAATAAAAAAACTACATTCATATTTTGGTTCATTGGGTGAAAAGTTTGCGTAAATTTGATGGATGATTATTTTTACATAGAGATTGTATAGCATGGCAACAACATTTATTATTTCTTTAAGAGTTGATATTTTGTGGGGAAACTTCTCTTCAGTAAACAAGTAAAGCAGGAAGTAATTACAGTATGATTCATGAGATCATCAATGAGATGTTTAAATTATAACCGCATGGGCTATTTGTTTTTTTAAATCCCAGACCATACTGCTCGAAATATATGAAAAACAATCTGATATTTATGTTATTGCATAATTAATTCATTTGTGAATTAATTAGTCTTGGCCAAACCAAACAGACAGCCTCTCTGGGATTATATTACCTCCAAAACCAGAACAAAATCTCTGATCAAAAGAAATATATGAAACAAAGTTGAAACAGAGTTCTCATTTAAATTCTTCAATTCCTAAAAATAAGTTCAGCCACACAGTAGAGATGTGTGATGATTCTGCATGTATATATCTGACTGAGTGATATGGAAACCTGTTGGAAGGGAAAATAGGCTAAAAATCATACTGCCTTTACCGTTAAGTGTTCCACTTCCATATCCTCTCATGATCCACTCTGCATTCTTCTTCGTGAGGGGTGTTGGATGACTTAACCCAGATCGGTACTTTCTGCTAGAGCTGACCCAGTTTGAACCACATGTTTAGACTGTGTGTGTGAGTGTGTTGGGAAAAGCGAGCGACAGATGATTTTCTTTTCCCAGTCTGAGACTTTGTGTGGCTTTTTTTGCATCTGTAGCAAATTGTGATAAACAGAAGTGATATAAATGACACAGAACCGCTTCATCTGAGTCTAACAGTGATGATTAGTGTATCAGCGTGACTTGGGGCTTGTGAATACTTGCCACTTTCTGCAGGATTAATGTCAAATGGAATAGAACCACAAAGCTAATCCTCTCAGCCCTTGTTCCAAGAAACAAAGTGTCTTCATAGAGAATTTTCATCTATTGAAATTACTGCTCATGCAGGGTTTCGCACAACACTGGGTGGCTCAGTCAAAAGTTTTATCTTAATTGAAGGAGTTGATCCCACAGGCAAGGGTTTAAACATTGACTTTACTGCCTCACACAGATTCAGTTTGATTTATCCTGGTAATTTTAAACATTAGCAGCATACAGTCTCATAACTGAGAAAGCCGTTCCTCATTTATTGGCATAGCACTGTGACTACCTCCTCCAAGGTTTTAAAAAAACTTATAATGGGCTTGCATGCTTAAAACCACTGTACTTAACCATTGACTTGAAAATATTTGACACTCTTGACCTCTTACACCAGAGACTTTCAAATGATGCCCTCTGAGATTGATCAATTGACTGGTTGTTACTGCTTTTACTCAGTGTTATCTGAATATTAAGAATGCTGTCGGCTCTGTACTAGGAGCAGATTAATAACATGGCTTAGAATTTCAATAATATATCCTACAGTTTTGTAAATAAATTAATTTTATTAATGTCTTGCAAGCAGTTTTGCTGTGACCTCTGAGAACCAGACAGAAATTTAGCCATACAAACAAAACTTTAAAAAGTTTATTGAAAGTTGATATACACTCACCGGCCACTTTATTAGGTACCACTCACCGGCCACTTTATTAGGTACCCCATGCTAGTAACGGGTTGGACCCCCTTTTGCCTTCAGAACTGCCTCA